CTCCCCATAATAATTGCACCCCGCGCCTCAGATATATATATCATATATATATATATATATATATATATATATATATATATATATATATATATATATGTGTGTGTATATAGTGTTATAACTTTTCTTTTTATGTGCATTCATCATTGTTTTTCTTCTTTCCATATTTGTGTGGATTACAATGATTCCAAATACTGTACAGGAATTATCTGGTTCTGTTACATGTTAGTCTTGTGGGGGAGGTCAGTCCCCAGATGTTGAGGCTGGCACTGACCTTTGCAAGTGCAAATAGGGTGGCAGTGGATGATGTTTCCACGGTGATGATTATGTTTCCCTATCTATGGATTAAAAAGGTGACCATAATAGAAGCTAGTGAGCGAATCGGAGGACGGGTGGAGACCTTCAGGAACAGAAGAGAAGGCTGGTATGCAGAAGTGGGAGCCATGAGGATCCCAAGCTTCCATAAGTGAGTAGTGAATTTATCTGTGGTTAAAAAACAAATTCTAGGTTTTTTATGCATCAGAATATATTAAAGCCTTATCCTGTCTATATAGGATACTGGTATGGTTTAACATGTTTCTTAGCCGTGAAAAACTCGCAAAAGCTCATGGTAGTTAAAAGTTTAATTAACTCTTATGAGTGATTACAAAGGGGAAGAAGCAGTGAGAAGATGCACTTTACTAGCTGACCATTAAGAAGGCTATTTTAAACTAAGATGTTTTAGAGGTTTGTATTAGTCCACTTGGATATTTATGTACCAAGAAAGTAAAAAATCAGCAATTAACTCCAGGAAGGAAATTGGTATTACACCTGTCATGGGTCATAAGGTAATTTACAAACTATTTGAAATCCATAATTTTTTAGTGAGAAAGATTGTTCCCAAATGGAAAACAGTTAAGACTTTGATAATCCTTCAAGGAGTGAACATGCTGACAAAATCATATTGCAAAGAATTTACAAAAAAAAACAAACAGCAAGTGCTTTATATCAGACTTCACAGGCCTCAGTCAGCATGTTTTATGTTATATTTATGATGATACTCAGAGCTTTACCCCAAGAAAACCTGCTAAGTCCGGTGGTCGGGGTGCTGAGATGGTCCACCAGCAGTCCACTGTGTTTTTGTGTTAAATGCTAATATTTTAACACACACCACATGTATATAAACAACGTTAATTAAACATTTGTTTATAGAGAATATCAATGCTGCTAAATTTGATTTAATGGTTTCAACATACATAAAAATAAGCGTGATGTGTGACTACGAGGCGAGCACGACATCTCCTCCACAGGCTTAACCGCCTAATCACTAATGCACAATGATCTGAGAGACTAATTGTCATATCGCCACCTTCCTAAAATAATGACCTCAGTCATTTTTACCAAGTTATTTTTGCAAAGAAATCACCACCTCTTTATTGCCAAAAGATGATTTTGGCAATAAAAAAAAAAATTAAAAAAAATAACTTTTGTCAAAAAATGACATAGTCCATTATTCTGAGAAAGTGACAGTATGCAAAAAAAGACAACTTCCTCTTCATGCACTTAGTTTTTTATAGCTTTTCATCTTGGCTTTATCTTTGTTTAGTTAATAAAGGCATAGTCGAACCATAGAATTCAAAAAGGGAGTACTTTCACCTGATTATAGTTACTCATTAGGTAAGCATGCCAATACCATTTTATCACAGATTTTTTTCAATTCTTCTATAACTTAAAAGAATATAGGAAATTTCTCCATCATGGACAAAAGTTGATCCCATTGTGTTTATATCACAGGATTCTACTTTCATTTATCTCCAAATTGAAAATCCCACTGAATCCCTTCATCCAAGATGACATCAACACCTACTACTTGGTAAACGGAGGCCTACACAAAACCTACACCGTAGAAAACAATCCCAGCGTGCTCAACTACAGTTTGCATGACAGAGAGAAGGGGAAGTCAGCTGCTGAACTCTTCAGTCAGACACTCTGGAAGGTCTATAGAGATTCAGAGGACTGAAAAATTTTATTGCTATGCTTGTTATGGCTGATGTGTTCAGTGGATGGCTTGTAATCTGTGTCCAGGTGAGGGATGACCTAAAGGCATTGGGCTGCAGTGGAATGCTGAATAAATATGACTCCTACACAGTGAAGGTATGAATAAGTTGGAGCAATGTGAGAATGTTAGGTGAAACACAAACAACAGTATTGTGTCTACCACTAGGTGGTGTACGAGAACAGTACTGATTGTAGAGAGAAGAAGAGATAAGATGGAGGAAAGGAATACCTGATGTTACTGTACTGCTGAGCAAGTTAAAAATAAACGATGTTAAGAAGAGTTCTTTGTCTACTCGTGCTTCTACCTTGTCCTGACTTCCAAACATAACATACAGTAATGGCCTGTGATGTGCAGGAATATTTGGTGAAGGAGGGCAACCTGAGCCGCGGCGCTTTGAGGATGATCGGCGACATCCTCAATGAAAACAGCCTCTTCTACACGTCCTTGATAGAGATGCTGTACATACAGACCGACATCAGTGACAACACACAGTAAGATTTTCTGTACAGTTACATGAAATTAAGATTGGATGTCTAGGAACTTCAAGGAAACTGGCAACTGGCATTGAGAGACCAGGTAAATCTTTTTTTAGAGTAAGGAGGAAGAGGTCTACAGGATCAACAAAACAGTTGATTGGCTTAAGAAAGAAGCTGGACAAAAGCTGAAAGGTTCAGCAGTACAGCAAAGAAAACCTTATAGGCAAGAGAGCACTCTAAGAAATAAAATGTTGAACTTACTTAACCAAGGTAACTGGTACCACTAAACCTAGTAACAATGTAACAATGTAAATTTCCCCACTGTGGGATTAACAAAGGAATATCTTATCTTATCTTAAATCTAAAGAGTGTTACACATTTATTTTCAACATAATCATTTAAGTAAAGACAAATAAATTCAGTTAAGAAAATCCAACACTTTAGACTTAAGTTTGTTTATCACCATCATCATATCTTTATTCCAGAAAAAAATACAAAATAAAAATTAATACGAAACATAATATTGTGAGGATTTGGGTTTTCTGTGTGTTTATTTAGGTTTATATGTTCAGTTGAGTCTATGTGTTGTCCCGTCTACATCTTGATTGTTCTCTGATTACCCTCTGTGTATCTAAATCCACCTGTGTCTCTTGTTCCTTGCTGGGTCCTTGTCTATTCTGCCGTTTGTTCATATCATGTCTCTACATTGTTTCCAGTTGCTACCAGTGTCTGAGCTCCTTGCCTCTCCTCACCTGTACTGCCTGGATTCTGTATTCTGTTATCATTAAATCATCATTTTTGTCACTTCAACCTGGGTCCACCACGTCTACCTCACCATCTTCTACAACAAATCATGACAATTATTCACTGAATAACAAATAAATGATGTCGCCAGGGATTACACAATCTTGATGAAAATCTCACTGTACTCAGTGCAGGGTTTGCTAAAATTGCAATTATATTATTCCATGACACATATAATCTACACCTACATTTGTACATAAGATTCATGAGCACAGCTGCACATGTGGGTACAGCATTATGTACAAATATATGACAAACACTACTCCATCTAGGCACTTTGAATAGGAGCCTCATGATGTCATTGTAGGCCACATAAAGTTTCTGCAGTGAAGTACAAAAAGCTTTAAAAAGAGCTATCTTTACATAGGACGAACACATACCGAACCTTCTGATGAGAATATTAGCTTGTGCATACATCATACGATACTACCTATAGATGTCACAATCATCAGAGAGGTCATCATTTATGTAATGTCCCAAATATTTCACTTCACTGCTTATGTTGAGAACAGTAGATAAAGAGAAGTCAGGGGCTATCAGGTTATTAAGGGTTATCTAACAATTATAACATTGCTTTTCTTAGCGTTATATCTGATGTCAAAGTCATAACCATATTGGGAACAGACCCTTAGTAATTGTTGAAGGTCAGCACTATCTGGGCATAGGATTACCAGATCATCTGCATACAGTATGTGATTGATTATGTGGTCATCAACTGTTTTACAACAATTCAGACACTTTGACAGTTCATCCATATAGATGTTAAAAAGGTAAGGGGACAGTATACTTCCCTGCCTTACTCCGTTACCAACATTGGTAACACTTTATTTGAAGGGGCGTGAATAAGACTGACATGACACCATCATAAACATGACATAACACCTGTCATGAACATCAGTAAGTCTTCATGAATAGTTATGTCTGTTGTCATAAAGCGTCATTCGGTAAATTATGACACTTTTAATACAAAGTTGACATTATTCAAAATGTCTTTGTTATGACAACTTGACATTAACCAAGAATCATGTCATAAATATGTCATAATAGTAGTCATAATGATTTAATTGTTATTACACTATCAAAAGCTTTAACAAAACAGTGATTAATATTCCCACTACCTGAAATAAAGCAAAAACAAGTAGGACCAACAATAAAGATTTCATTATACTTTATTATACTGTCAAATTATTTAATAACAGAGTCAATAATAATTTATTTTACATCAAGTAAAATGGAACAAGTAGCACCAGTTATGAATATGTCATTAAGTGTTATTACAGTGTCATTAATATTAACTGTTACCTCAAGTAAAATGAAACTAGTAGCAACATGACACTTAATCTTGTCATTAAGTGTCCTTAAGTCATGACACTTAATCACAAAATGTCATTAGGTATTAATACAGTGTCATTAATATTAACTCTTACATCAAGTAAAGTGAAACTAGTAGCAACAATTATAAAGATGTCATTTAGTGTTATTACAGTGTCAAATGCAATGCTAACAGAGTCACTGATATTAAGTCTTACCTCAAGTGAAGTGAGTCACACTGAACTACTTAACTACCATCATAGCTGTAGAACAAACCCTTTGTACATTGGAATAAAACAAAAGGTAACTTGTTCTTCAAACAGAGGATTTAACGGCTGGTCAGTATATTGTTACTCTGAAATACTGATTGAAAAACTAAAACAAAATTACTTATTCTGTAACTTAGGAAAATTGTTTTTTTTCAACAGTAACATTTTGAACATTGAGTTTTATTAAAGTTCTTGGATTTTGCTGACTGAATTTAATATTCTCATGTTCAAGTTAAACAACCTAGTTTAGTGGAACCAGTTGACATAACTGAGATAAGTAATTGAAATTGTTTATGTTTCATTGGATTAATAAAACAAATCTATCCAATTTAAACCACTCTAATTTATTTTAGACAGTCAGTTTTAAGAACAGTAAAGTCAAGCCATAAGTTATTTTTACAAAACAAAAAAAAGGTCAAGCAGTGATAGCTTGTTAAATTTTTTTCAATAAAAAACAGGTCAGCCCCACTCCAGCAATGCCACCCACTCGCCATAATCAATGCCCATGTGCAATTTGCGCACCGGTCCACTAGGCAGTGTGCACCAATGTGTTGAGCAGTTTTCCTTGATGATGCACAAAAAATCTGGTGCAGATCGGTTATTCTATTAAGGAGATATAATTGTTGCAATTATCTAGGGGGTGCAGTGGAGTCAAATTAAAATTTAATGCTATTGGGCTCTCTAGAGGTTAACAAAGGTCAATCAGATCAAGTTTGGTGCTAATCGCATAATGCATGTCTGATTTAGCGCCAACATATGCAGACGGCGAGGGATTGAAATTTGCCTCTCTACCATGCCCACATGCTCCAACCAGCAGCAAATGTGGAGAGAAGAATTTACCATCATGTTGTTAAATTTCATTAAATGCTGGGTTAAACCTCTGAATCATAGAGTAAAAGGAAGAAAACCAGTAGAAAAACAGGTGTCTTCCTATTGAAAGGGGGTCACCTTTCAACAAGAAAGGTGATGTCACTATTTCATTACTATTTCATTACTCGGCATAACATTTCATTTCACTGTTATGCGGACGATTTGCAACTTTACATTAGAACGGGATCACCTTCCACTTCACCTCCGCTTATTGCGCTAAAGTCCTGCCTGGAGGAGATTAAGTCTTGGATGACCCATAACTTTCTTCAGCTGAACTGTTCCAAAACCGAGGCCATACTGATCGGAACGCCTCATCAGGTTCTATCCTCGACTCTGACGAGTATTTAATTCTCTGGACAAGACATTCCCATTTCCTCCATTGTTACAAACCTTGGCGTCCGAATGGACTCCCATCTCACATTTGAAAATCACATTAAGCACCTGTTTAAAACCTTTTTTTTTTTTTATCTTCGCAATATTTCTAAAATTCGTTCATCTCTCTCCCGTTCTGATGCTGAGACCCTCATCCACGCCTTTGTCTCCTCCAGGCTCGACTACTGTAACTCCCTGTTCATCGGAGTCCACCAAAAACACCTTCAGAGGCTTCAGTACATTCAAAACAGTGCTGCCAGGATCCTAGTGAGAGCTCGTAAATTTGATCACATCACACCAACTCTTTACGAGCTTCACTGGCTTCCTGTAACTTATAGGATTCAGTATAAAATTTCACTTATCACCCATCACTGTCTACATGGAACCT